AGAAACCACAAGAAGAACCAGGAGAATTATGAGAGCTATGGCCCAGGATGGAAATGGTTCTGTGGAGAAACATTAAAAAAATTTGACTGACCTGTGTCCACAACATTGACCTCTGACCTCAACTTACAGCACTGACCTTTGACCTGCAGCACTACTTTCCATCTGAGGATGTCTTTGTCCCTGTAGATGGTGCAGATGTATCGTCCTGTGTCTCTCTCTGTGGGCTGTTTCAGGGTCAGACTGAGGTCTCCAGTTCTCAGCAGGTCTTCATTCATCTTCGTTCGGTCTCTGTAAACTTCATCCTGAGTCATAAGTTGGCCACTTTGATTTGAATACTCATGGACCACCATGAGTCCGAGGTCAGAGCGAGTCCACTCCACTCTGGTGGCCTCAGGCAGGTCAGGTGTTGTTTTGCAGGGCAGGATGACAGACTGTGAGCCTACCTCCACCTTCACCTCCACCTGCTGGTCTGAAAGGATAAGAAAACAACCGTAGAATCAGCTGCACTGACACTGATTGTAAATGGAGCTTGGCTCAGTATCCACATTCCTGATCTCTGATTCTGTTCTGTAAACATTAATAATGTACCAAAACAGTCTTTGGCTCTTTTTGTTTTCTATTGTAACTGGAATTTATGTTATTGCTACACTCACAAATGGGTGAGGGATCACAATGAATATTATGGGCATTAAATCACCTGCTTATCATCAAATCACTTGTTCTGACACATCTAAGGAAAGGAAATTCTGAATGTTTCAAATTGGCTGATGTGTAAAAGGTCATATTTTGAGTGACTGAGCTCAGCTTTTTGGTGTGGCTTCCACAGCAGTCCTAGTTTCTTACTGCGCTGGTTTCATCAAGACATTTAGAACAATTTAGTTAGCTTCAGCTTTGCCTGACCTTTGTCTGCAGCACTGACGTCTGACCTATAAGTACAGCAGGTTTTAGGGTTTGACCTTTGATATGCAGTTGGATGCTTCTCAGTCTCCGTTCACTTTCTCCTGCACTGATGGAGCAGGTGTAGTTGCCCGAGTCAGTCTTTGTTGGCCTTCTCAGAGTAAGGGTGAAATCTTTTGTGATGAGAGCATAGGGATTCATTGATGTGCGCCCTTTGTACTGCTGGATCTGCCCATTAAGATCATCTCCTCCTTTTCCTCGTAGGTGGACAGGTTTGGGAACAAGATCATTGAGAGTCCAGATAACTGTGGAGTCCTCAGGTATGAAACCTGAGTACAGGCACGGCAGGAGGACAGATCTTTCTCCCTCATAAACTTCTACCACAACAGCCAATGTGGTATACTGGGAAACTGAGCACCAACAGAAAGAACCCAAATTTACTAAAAAACAAGAAACACTAAATGTAATCAGAAACATGAATTCAAGGAACGAACTCTTTGTTATTTACATTTTAAAATGAGTGAACAGGCTGCACCCTGAATAACCTCAGTGCACCGTTAATTAGAATATCATCAGTTCTGTGCAGCAGTGAAGAGAAACACTATTCCTCCAAAACATTCTCTCAGATACTGAGCAGGGCAAGATAACACAAGCCTACGCTTACAAAAATGGACTGATTGGATTGGCAAAAACATGCATTATACATGTTTCTCTCTGGAAGCTGAAGAGGCTGAGACAGCTGAAGGATGAAGGATAACTAAGTTTTTTTAAATTGATTAAAACTCTTTTGTTAGAAAATTAGTCTTGAGCTACAGGAGATGGGTGGGTCTATGGGGCCGTGTCAGCGAAGGCTCGTGTCTCTCTATTTCAGTACCACGCCAAGTCATGGAGAAGGAGGAAAAAAAACGGACGTAGCGCACGGCCAAGGGTTGCGAAAGTGAGAGAAAGATTTTTGAATAAGGATATTAGCAGTGTTTTATTTTTTCAGTGTCAACAACATACGTCACCATTATCCATAGAGTCCAAGCCTCACTTTCTGTCTTCTTTCTTGAATGTTTTTTTGTTGCAAGACAATGTTTCATATTTCTTTTGGAAAGGTTGAACATTATAATCCTTTTATAATTATAGTATCTATCCATTTCTTTCTCCAGCCTTTTTAGGGAACACCAAGGCGTTCCCAGGCCAGCTGAGAGATATAATCTCTCCACCATGTCCTAGGTCTACCCTGGGGCCTCCTCCCAGTTGGACATGTCTGGAATAGCTTACCCAGGAGATGCCCAGAAGGCATCATAGTTCACCTCAACTGGCTCCTTTTGAAATGGAGGAGCAGCAGCCCCCTTCTGAGCCCCTGTTGGGAGGCTAAACTCCTCACCCTATCGCTAAGGGAGAGGCCGGCCAGCTACCCTTTGGAGAAAGCTCATCATGTGGACAGTAAATGCCAGCGATTTAGCCAACAAGTGACAGTAAAAATGGGCAAGAGAACACAGGCCAAACAGCTAAGACAATGAAGCACAACACACCAGACCATGCAGCCATTACAGGCACAGGTGCAGACGATACAACAAGCTGGTCTAAGTATACTAAGCTATAAGTATAGAGAGAGCAGCGGCAGCCAAACCATACCAGCGTCCACGTCCCTGCTGTGCAGAGTGGGGTTTAAAATCTCAAAAACCTTTGTTTACAAAGAATTGTACAAAATGCACATCCAACTAAAAAATATGAATTTCTGTCTGTCGATTTAGAGCTGTGTCAGAGTTAACAGATATCAGTATCACAGCTCACAGACAAATTTGTGACTACAACAGCAGCTGGCGTCGCAGTCTCTGACTTTTTTCAGCAGCAACCTCAGCAGAGTTAAATCCTCTGACAGCAACAAGGAACAAAAGAGATGAAAATTACAGTGATCCTATTTTAATAAAGTAAATCAATAAAAGGAGGAATCCCGTGTTTCTTAAGAATCTATATATGACATAGAAATGTCGTTTTTCCACTATGGACTGTGAAAGAACTATAGAGGCTCTCGCTGTTTGCAGACTGATGGAGCTTCAATGTTTCCTAATGAACTTTTTCCAGAACACTTTGAGGTAACTTGACAGAAACTCACTAAACTAAAATCCTGCCTCTGGTACCAGCCTTTCAGGTCCACTCAGACCTGATAAATGTCTTCATCACACGGCGAAGAAGTATAACAGCAACGGCTGTCGGACCATTGGGTTTTTCAGCTGCTGTCCAAAGACACATTTTGTGTTCAGGCAGAGAATTAAAGTCTGAATCAGATGCTTCTTATCAGAAGCTAATTGTTTCCAATATACACAGTTTATGTTAACTTTTGTACAAGGATGTAGGCAGATTAAAAATAACTGAGAAA